CACGCAGCAGATTCGTTCTGAATGAATCTCTTACCAAATCGGCCCTCCCTAATATATTCGTATCGTTTTTATTCATTGACGAAAATGTCAATAGATTTACGTCATAGTTTGTCATTCAAAAAGAGTTGTAGTTCGTTATCGTCTCGTTGTCGTCAGTGAAAAAACTGTCGTTGACAAAAATTATTTGTCAACGAAATTAACACGGTCTTGGATGCGTCTCTTCTTTTGCATCAAGCACGTTCTTAATCACTGACATTGCTTTGACTGATGATGTCAGAGCCGAAGGGTGGAGTTATTTCACTCAGTGTGGGCTCCTTGATAATTAACACCTTTCTTTATTTCCTCTTTGCTCAGTACAATGCTTTTGCTTACCTTTTATTTTCTTTTTCTCTTTTTAAATGTATTCTCACCATTCTCCTCTTCCTCCCTTTCTCACTCTCTCCATCTCTCTTCTATCAAACAGACCCTCAGTTCGTCGTGTATCAGTTGAAGGTAAAGATCCACACGTCAAACCCAGCCCACACACGGAGGGAAGAGAAGCACATGATCTTTGAGTTCCCTCAGCCTCTTCCGGTTTGTGGCGACATCAAAGTGGAATTCTTCCACAAACAGAGCAAGATGATGAAGAAGGTAAGTTATCGTGTAAACTTTGACCTATGACCCATAATCTTGTTGGTACACCGTATCACAGGATCTTGACCCCGTTATCAAGGCTGCAGGGAGGTGTTGCGTTTTGGTGGTTTGTGGTTTTTCTATTGTTTTACGTCTTCACTTTAGCAGCTACTACGTCTTTTTGCGTGCCTTCTAAATGGTTGCTTCCTCATTTTTTATTTTTCTTCTCCCAAAAGAGCATGCCTGTCCTGTGCGTGTTTGTGTTTCTGCTTTATATAAATGTGTTTATAAGTGCAGTTGTTGGAATGTGTATTTGTGTTTGTAAACACTTGCTATTTATGGCCATCCGATGCCCAAATGTAAACCTTTGCTGTGTGCTCATGTGCGTTCGCAGGATAAAATGTTCCATTTCTGGATAAACACGTTCTTCATTCCGGGTCCCGAGGAAGCTGGGGAGAAAGTGGAGAATGGGTCGGTGGTCAACGACGTGGACAGCCTCTCCTCCCAGAGCCAGAGCTCCCCGGCAGAGAGGGAGAGAGGGATCGCAGCGGGAGGACTTGAAAGAGAAAAGGGTGCAGAAAGGGGAGGAGAGCGAGTGGGAGTAGCGGATGGAGATAAAGACTACTTGATTCTGACCTTAACAAAGAACAACTTGGATAAGGCCAATAAGGACAAAGCTAACCGATACTTCTCACCCAACTTCAAGGTGAGGGCACACCATTCAACACTTAACAATGGATTGATCAAAGTAGCTTGATGGCTTTATATAGCAAATATGCAAAATACTCCAGGTTCACTGTATTTATTATTTCGACATTTGGATAATTTCAAACATATTTGGTGGCTACAGGTTATACAAATGTAATAATGTGAAACCAAGTCTCAGAAAAGGAAATGACACCAGTTTTTAAATGAAAAACATATTAAAATCAAATGTTGTCAGTTGCACACTGAAACTCAAAGTTGTTCCTTTAGTTTTCTGCCAAAATAAGGGTTCAAAGATTTGAACTGCTTAAGGGTTGTGTGGAAGTGAATACATTACGACAGAATTGTATTCCTATTGTATTGTACTCTTCTAATATTCTATATTTTTATGAATAAGTTAATAACTCGTTGTACTGGCAGCAAAACATGATTTAATTTGGAGACAGGAGACAAGATTGCTTGAATATTGCGGCAATATGAGACCTCAGCAGTATGGGTTTTTAAATGTTTAAATCACAATTCAAATCGCAATGTTTGTCAAAATGTAATTGAATGTTTTTGATTTAAAGGGTTACTCCACCCCAAAATGAAAATTTTGTCATTAATCACTTACCCCCATGTCGTTCCAAACCCGTAAAAGCTTTGTTCGTCTTCGGAACATAATTTAAGATATTTTGGATGAAAACCGGGAGGCTTGTGACTGTCCCATTGACTGACAAGTAAATGACACTGTCAAGGCCCAGAAAAGTATGAAAGACATCGTCAAAATAGTCCATCTGCCATCAGTGGTTCTCCACTGATGGCAGATGGACTATTTTGACGATGTCTTTCATACTTTTCTGGGCCTTGACAGTGTTATTTACTAGGCAGTCTTGGCATTAATGACAAAATGTTCATTTTGGGGTTGAGTAACCCTTTAAATCGTGCAGCTTCAGTACTTTTGTTTTAACTGATGTACACTTACAGTCATGTTTTATTTATCTTCTTGGGTTTAGGGTGTTGATCACGTGACTGGCCAAATATTACTCTATCACAGTATCTTATTTTTCTCTAAATGACTCATGGTTGACTGTGGTATATGTGTATATATACACACTACTAAGGTTTGATGGTGTCAGAGGTTTGGGGTCAATAACACTCTTTATAGAAAAATAATATTTTAGTAGCAAGGCTGCATAAAATTGATGAAAAGTAACAGTTAAGACATTTACATTGTTATAATTTTTTTTTTTTTTAATTTCAGGAATTTAAATTTTTGAATATTTAAATGAAAACAAAGATTTAATTTTAATGTTTTACAAAATTATTGATTTTACTGAATTGGATCAAACATTATCTATCTATCTATCTGTCTGTCTGTCTGTCTATAAAATATTAAGCAGCACAACTGTTTCCAACATTGATTATAAATCAGCATATTAGAATGATTTCTGAAGGATCATATGACACTGAAGAGTAATGATGCTGGAAATTCAGCTTTGCTTCACAGGAATAAATTATAAGGTATATTAAAATAGATAAAAATTAAATTGCAATAATATTTCACAAAATTAGTTTTTTTTCCTGCATTTTTGATCAAATAAATACTGCCTTGATGAGCAGAAGAAACTTCTTTAAAAAACATTAAAATCTTCCTGATCCCAAACTTTTGAACGGCAGTGTATTAAAAAAAAAATGCTGACTCGTACATTAAGAATCCATTTAATTTTGTGCTCTGCAAAGCACTCATATTTATGCTACCTTCTGTCTTTTGTCTCTTGTCAGGTGAAGCTGTACTTCACCAAGACCGTGGAGGAGCCCTCAAACTCAGAAGCGAGCACTTCAACTTCTGTCACTCCGGATGTGAGTGATAATGAACCCGATCACTACCGCTATTCAGACACCACTGATTCTGACCCAGAAAACGAACCTTTTGATGAGGAACAGCACGCACAGATTACAAAAGTCTGAACACTTTTTGGCATCTACACCACACACACACACTCACACAAATACATGCCGGACAAAAACAAGAAAAACCAACCAACACCAGTGAAATAAAAAAAGGAGAAAACTTGAAAATAAACTGAAGAGAAAAGGACCCTTCCTCCCCTACCCCTCCTACAGCTCGAGGACAGTAGTGTCAAACGCCATTGATCACGGACAAAGAAAATATCCTGACCAATATGTTATTTTACTTCATTTTGATCGATGAATTTCGTGTTTGGATAACAACACCGTTGCCTGAGGTGGGAGGGAGGGTCCTGTAGCTATTCTGTGTATATAAAATCCCTTTTTTGTGTCAAAGACGTTAAAAATCTAGGCAATCAGGAGAGGGGAGGGGAGGGGAGGTAGAGCAGACCACACATCTCTCCTTCTCCCTGTCTTCACCCAGGCCAGTGCTGCAATCACCCTCTCCCCCTCTCCCTCGCTCTCGCTCTTCCCCTCCTTACTGTGAATGCTTCTTGTGCTGTCTGCAGGCGCTAAGACCTTTGACCCCTTCCTGCGCGGTGTGTGCTGGTGTACGTAGTCTTTCAGGCTGTTGTACAAAGGCTACGGCTGCCAGCGTTCCTTTTCCTAGCCTCACAACCTACCCTGCCCCCACCCCACTGTGTATAACGATAAATTATGCAGAAAAACACGACATCCCATGTAATTGTCGTTTTTTTTTTCTTTTTTTTCTTTTTATCCTAAGATAATAAAAAATATAATACATGAAAGCGCAGGGAACCAGTGTTTGCAATAATGTTAACACTCAACATTTAAAGGACAAATTGGTGTGCATGTCATTGGAGTCAGTGTCCATGTTTAATAAATGCTATATGATGTGTTTTTATTAAAACAGAAGTGTCAGAACTCTCTTAAACGGTCGTCTGAGATCAATTCACAAAGGTAAATCGGTATCAAGACTTCAAGTTGTGATTGTTTGTATTGCACTATATATATGTATATATTAGTGCTGCTAAAAGATTAATCGCGATTAATTAATTTCGTTTACATAATATAAGTGTGTGTACTGTGTATATTTATTATGTATATATAAATACACATGCATGTATATTTATTTCAGAAAAATATGCTGTTTATATATAAAATATAATTATATACATGTAAATATTTTCAAAATATATACTGTATGTGTGTGTCTTTATATATACATAATAAATATACACAGTACACGCACATGTATTATGTAAACAAAAACTTTTATTTTGGATGCGATTAATCGCGATTAATTGTTTGACAGCACTAATATATATATATAAACACACATATATACATACATGCATACACACACATACATGCATACATAAAGTATAGACACCACATTGGCCGATATATGTTAATTTGAATTTATCAGTGTTCTATTTAGTTAATGCTCACTTCCCTTATTTTACACTGTTAGCTGAGCCTTTAACAAATTGAGCCTTAAAATGCTAACAATACTTAGATGTTAATTTTATTTACTGAAGATTACATTTGTTTTCATATTGTACATGATAATGTTATACCTAAATTGCAGAATTTAAAATTATAGTTTTTTTTTCAGTGATTAAAAAAAGTGCACTATAATTTGGGGTTGGTAAATTAAAAAAAACTAAAAAACATTTTTGAACATTACTCTCACCAAGTCTGCGTTTATTTGATCAAAAATACAGTAAAACAGAAATACTGTGAAATATTACTGTTTAAAATAACTATTTTATGTTAATATATTTTAATATAGTATTTTGATCCTGTCATGGCAAAGCTAAATTTTCTGTAGCCATTACTCCAGTCTTCCATGTCTCATGATCCTTCAGAAATCATTCTAACATTTTTATGATCATGTTGAAAACAGTTGTGTTGCTTAATATTATGTAAACTGATTTTTTCCAGATTTTTTTGATGAACAAAGTTAAAAAGAACAGCATTTATTTGAAATGTAATTTTGTAGCAATGTAGAAGTCTTTTCTGTCACTTTTGATCAATTTAATGCATCCTTGTTGAATAAAAGTATTAATTTCTTTAAAAAAATCTTACTGACCCCAAATATTTGAACTGTATAAAATATAGATTTTTAATATTGGCTATTTGTTAGTTAACATGAAATATTTTTGCTTTTGAGGAATTGGGCAGAATTTTAAACGGTGATCCTTTTTTCCTCTCGCTTTTTCCTTAAATATTTATTAGTCATTTTATGAGGGTTTCATCTTTTTGAGTCGTTTCTTAAATCGAAGCTCCCTTTTCAAACAAGGTCATTGCTGGATGCTCGCTCTCTCCTGGCTTCCTGTTTGTGCTGTTAAACTTTCTTGAGTTGGGAATGCAGAATGCATTTCACTATATGCAGTCTATTATACATATATGAAATGAGGGGCTTCTATCGGATTTCCAGGTTGATGAGGATCTATTTAGATTGACATAAATGATGCAATCCCTCTGATGGGTTTAGGCACAGCACGTCAGTAGTCTGAAGCAGATGTTGGTTCAGGCAACTATTTATGGCTTAGTGCTTCATAGTAAGTAGTGAAAATTGAGTCTTATTACGATGATAAAAAAAATCTTGATAGTTACTGTGGGAATCAGTAATCTGACTAGTCTATCCATATAATTGTCCAGTCTTAATGCTGTCTGCATATCTGTAGCTTTCTGCAGTCATTAGATTAGAGCGCATAGACATGGAGGAAAATATTAATCTCATAACAAAGAGGAGAGGACATGGATATATAATCCGTCCTTCTCCTCATCTCTGTCTTCCCTATTGCTTTTGATTTGCCTCTCGGTCAGTTTTACCCTACCCTTTGTCTGTTCACGCCATCCTGTCATATCTCTTCTGATGTTGATAAAAACTTCAAACTAGACTCGCACCAGCTAATGATGGAGACGGGAACTGTTCCGCTACACTGTAATTGGTTGCCCAACGGGGAGTCAACCCTGAATGACCAATGAGGTGCTTGCCCTCCTCTGTCGGCAAGCACCGCTTCTTTCATCAGAAAGAGGTTCAGTCACCAAGAACGGCTGCGCCTTCAGTTTACATCTGATGCAATGCCACGACAATCTGGCAACCGCTATGCCCTCTTATGCACAGTTTTGGGGATTTTCAGAGCAGCTTTATACAGCAGTGTGATTTGAATAGAGTTTGGAAATCTCTTAACTTCGACTCAGTTAAATTATTCAGTATTTCATCTAATTGCAGCATTAGCATGTCCACGTTTTTCTCGTTTTTTTCTCTGTTTGGGAAGTATTTGCTCAACCTGGCAACCCGTCATCTACACTGTGGGACAGTGTGAAACTAATCTGGCAAAAACTTGCTGTTAGAGCACAGCTGTGCTATGTTTGGATTAGGCCCAGAATGAAACGGGAAGTGGGGATTAACTGGCCTGGGTGGCAGGTTCTGCATTTCTTTAAAAGAGCTAAACAGCCCTGAGAGAAGTATGGGGGCTGCACTATTTTTGTTCTTTGACTTTTTTTTTCTTCCATTTTTAGCAAATATAGCTGTGGTCTGAGATAAAATCATAAAGTGTAGGATAGTCTCAGAATTATCCTAATTCTGTTGATCTAAAAGGAATATTTGGTATTTAATAAATGTATCCCAATTAACAGCATTTGTGGCGTAATGTTTATTACCAAACAAATATTGAGGTTACAGTGAAGCACTTTTAATGTGAGTAAATGGGGCCAATGTTCAAAGATTCAAAAGCAGAAATGAGATAGCACTTGAATAATTCTGTTAGAACTTTATGCATTATTTGAGCTTTAAAATTCACATTAGGTTGATAAGCCCATTTTGTAAAAGCATCTTAATGATTTTATGAATGATTTATTCAATTCAATTCAAGTTTATTTGTACAGTGCTTTTCACGATACACCTGAAACCTGACTGAAATTCTTCATAGAGATCATTTTTTTGCAGGAAGGAGCACAATTGAGCAGACAACTTTTTCTAAAATTTTAGAAATAAAAGGAAGATTTATCCATTTATTTATTTATTATTATTTTTAAAAATTCCAGTTTTTAATTGGAATGTCATAACTTGATCTTCTGGTGAAAACAACATATTTCTATGGTGATGATTTTTTTTCCAATTTTTATTTTTCCATAATCATTTGCATGTACGTTACAATATGGGAGAAAATATATCGCTACTACTTTATTACCACAACTTTCAACACTGATGTTGTTTATTCGTGCCTATACTATTCATACATTTAATATTTAACATTACTTATTTAACATATTCTTACTATTTACATATTATTTAACATTCTTACATATTACTTATTTAACATATTCAAACATTTAGTATATTAACATTTACATACTGGCCTCATTCACTTTCACTGTAAGTCACTGCAAGTAACTCAGATTTTTGCCTATTTAATAAATAATTTTTTTTCAACAGACAAGTTTAAATAGTTTTAGTGGTAATCAACATTACGCCACAAGTGCTGTCGATTGAACTTAACTTGTGTTGAACCAGAAATAATCCTTTAAGGTCTGTCATGCTCAAACATTATGGTTGTCTTTTTGTGGACAGCACACTCTTGTCAATAAATAAACACCGCCCCTTCAAGTTTCTATGATTAAATCCAGTAGGTAACCTGTATAAAAGTAGACACTGAACTGAAAGTCTCTGAAGGAAAAGCTCAGCACTGTACTTACAGAAGAGCTGCTGCAGATACAGAGTGACAAGAATTTGCAATGTATGGGCGTTAGTATTCAGAGTGTGTGCGCGCTTTCATTTTAAAGAGCGCTTGATTAGACAGAATCCCAAGGGGAAAGGATTAGAGGATTATGGCGTGTTTTCCCCAGAGACGATCGGCCACGCTAGACCAGGCTAACATCCGTCACAGCCAAATTAATATGGGGCTCAGATAACAGACACCAACACTTCTCATATCAGCGCCGAGGAGTGTGTCCTCTCCATGAACCCGGCTTACTGTCACACATCTCATATGTGCACAAAGGCGATCATAAAGAGGTCTGAAATGGCTACGAGTCGACCCCAGATTATGAAAACCTCAGAAACCATCTCAGTCTTTGTTGATGTGAAACATTAACATGTCATGATATAAACACACACACACTAATAGCCAATGGCAAACACACACAGGGATAAAGATAACGTGTGAATGTGCAGTCGTTCCCGGCTTATATGTTTTTAAGGCCACAAAAATATGTATAGGAGCCAATAGCTAAAGAGAACTGATCCTGAAGACACACAAAGCATGTCATTAAACAACAAATCACAGGACCAATAAAGCTGCAAATTAAGATTTCTAATGCAAATACTAGACCTCATCATTTTTTTTCTTCAGTTTTCTCTAACTGGCAATGCTTGTCACGTAGGAAAAAGCTTCACCTGACAGTTCTCCACTCCTACAGCTGACAATGACAGAAGAAAGGTGACAGAAAGACTCGAAAGTCGAGACTTAAGGTTTTGTGGTTTCCATGTCACTGTGTTGTCACATGAGTAAAGGGGTGAGACATCAATGAATGTATCAGTTGTATAGCCTACAGAAGTGCTACATTGGTATTGTGTAGGAGAAAGGTGTGTTGATGTGATTTTGCACTTGCACTCTTAGGCTGTCAATTTGAAATTTAAATCAAACCTAGAAATCAATCATTGCACATATTAGTTCACTCACTGGTGATTTAACTTTGACAAAGTGAGTCATTTATAGTACAGGCACTTAAAGTTCCACTCGTCTCAAGATCCTGT